CAAATTTTTGAACAATCAAATGAACCTCACATAATTGATTAAAATTGAAATTTTTTGTATTTTTTTAATCAATCTAAAAATAAAGAAAAATGACATGAACTCAAATTAGTAAATATAAGGAACTTGAGTTAAAATTTGAACTAGAAAATAACACTCGACATCTTTGCAACATACTTTTGTGAAACACATTGTGCAATTTGAGAGACATGCTTTTGCCAAAACATTATGTTATAAGGGTGATTGGTGGTGCAACAATACTTATGCTTGAAATATAGTGACGTAAAATCATTAGTCATGACATTAATGCACCCTTACGATAGCTAATGCTGACACAAAGTTTCATTTCTATGAGTAAAACCGTGCAACTCAAGAATGTCACAAAATGGTTTACAAAGGATAGGATTTTAACACTGCCGTTGCCAGGTCCCAAGTCCTGGATGAGAAAAGTGGAGGGTTGCGTTAGGTAGTCGACAGCCAGCGTAAAACTTGTCGAACAAAAATGACATGAATCTTTTAAGAAATTGGATAAAGGCTTGATGTTTTGGTCTATTGAGGCAATATACATAGGATAAGAATCCCGAAATGTTGGCCAAAGCCTTGTGTACTTTTGGTGGACTAAATAATGTTCTCCAATAATGATTTCACCCAAGAAATACAAGAATCATTTTTAGAAAAGTAGTATCTGATTATCCCTAATCAGTGGTCACACATTTCCATCATACCTAGCAAATTACATTCATAATCTTAATAAAGATAGCAGGTAGGATGCTTAAAATTTTGGTTTAGTGCCTTCAGCTTACTTTTCAATCAATCATGGAATACAAAAGTTTTGTGATATATGCGTCATCAGAGTGTTTTTCATGACACCATTCTTCTTTTAGAAACTACTGCCATTGTCACCTTAATCATCTTCTTAAAGTAGTTTTGTGTTTGATTGCTAAATTCTCCAAGTTGAAAGTAATCATAGAAGGAATCCAAGCCGTGATAAGAAGAAGATGGACTTTGACAATCTCTTGTTAGATGAAGATAGCGATGAATGTTGTAATGAGAAGGAGAAGAAGAACTTACAATGAAAGCTTATTGGAGATAACCTTATATTGAATTGATATGCGAAGTAAAGAAATTTTTTATGGACTTAGCTCATAAAGGAAGGCAACAATGAGGCTAGTAATGTGAGAAGCCTTAATCATATATATACTTTTCCATGATAATTACCATCATTCTATTAGAAAGAGGTATATCACGAATATGGGAGGGAAAAGGGTCTTATTAATCTAGAAAGCTATAAGCTATGCCATGTAGCTAAGAGCTTGATGATTACTTTCTCCTTTATGAAATATGTAAATGTAATGAAACTATAGTCCATCTACTTGTATGCGAGGGAGTTAGAGTCAAAGCCACCGGATCTGCAACATTTCTACAAGAGGACAGAAGGAGACAACCTACAATAATACTGAAAATACATTTGAAAACATTACACCCCTACATATGCTCCGATAAGCTTGTTAAAGTTATAAATATAAATGTCCGAGAATACTGCGTAGGGTCAAATGCTCATTAATATAATAGTATATTTTGCAAAATAAATATAACCCACATGTGCTCCAATCGTCACATCCGAGTTTAAAATCCAATGGTCCGTGAATGCTGCACGGGTCTAAATTCAAGCTTCATTCTCCTCCTCGAAAGGACTGGAGTCGACAGGCTTTGAAGTACAAAGTGCCTTCCAAATTCATACAAAATAAAAGTGACTTTAACATCACCCCGATGATGGCCGTGCTGATAGAAAATGTCAACCGGAGGGGTCAAATCTCAAATCCAACAAAATTCTAAATTCCAAAAATAAAATTTATCATCTTAAAAACTTAAAACTAAAACTCATCCACCTCCCGCAACTATTTATTGGGGGTGATAAATTTGAAATTAATTTCAGCTCACAAAGAGCAAATGAGTGTCAGGTGTATCGCTAAGGTTCATCCTCAAATAGTCTCTTGCCAGCAGAGATGTGGCATGTGCCCTCTGATCGGGTGGTTTTGTCGTGACATAGCACCGTTATATTATGATCACAGCCAAAACCCATATGTTCTCTAAAGGCTTCAAACTCTTGAGTTATGAATCATAGGGTATATCTAATAGGCACAAAGCCCTATGTCAGCTAAGGTGGATTCAGATCTATCCCCTTAAACAAATATCAACCCAGGTCTACAAGGTATTCTTGGACGAAGCAACCCATGGCTGTTGATTAGGTGCCTTCTATCAGGTTGGGTCGACTTCCTCCTTTGACTAAGTAGACCAAGGATCATGACCGCCCAAGATGACGGAACCATGGGATCTTGATCGGGCTCGTCTTCATTCCCCCTACCATCAGTTTTAAGTGTATAATGATAAATTCCTAATCATCAAATCAAATTAAAACCCTAAAATTGTTGCTATTATATGCTGTATTTACAACCTATACAACCTCTTCAACGACTAGCCTTAATCGAAAGTTCTCTCTCATTATCGGGAGGGGTAATTAACTATAGGGGATTACGCCTATAGGAAACCAGAACTCAGATCATAAAGTCCTCGCAAAATGAGGGCGAAATCTCTGGATAGTTTCTTATCTACAAACCCATCTGCCTCCCAAAATTTACCCCGGAACTTAAATCCGTTAAAACTCCCCGAAAAGCAACGCGGGGAGGCCTGAGCCTAATATTCGGAGCCCACAGGTACGCAAGGTGGTGCATGATGATCAACTATTTCGCACTGATCGCCTTCATCATTTTCGTCTCCTTCTCAGTGACACATGAATGGTCATCTTTCTGATGGGGAAGGAGATTGGCACAATCAGCACAAACCACCTGGCTGAACTATGAACAAAGACAAACTTCACTTTTCAGTATTTAACCTTATTCATCAACACCAACATCTTCATCAAAGTCGCAAGAATTGTATACACCCATACTTGAAAGCTTTGGTAGTGAAGACGTGGTAGAAAAGGTTCAGCAACTACTATAACCTTTGCTCGCGTGGATAGGAAATGAAGGATATCACACTCGTTACGGAGTTCTACAAGACTTGTGCAAGGATGATTCCATATAGAAATCCAATACATCCACAAATTTGTGGCAGAATAAAAGTTGCAACTTGAGCTTGAAATGGTCGCATGATATACATGACTCCTATTTCTAAAAGGTATGAAGGAGTGCGTCCTCATAAAGTGCTCATACCTGCTGTGTGTTGTTTCCAAAGAAAATAGTAAAAGGTCAGTCTGCTTCACCAGCTCTCACAAGGATTGCAGGCACTCAGTGTTAGAAAATGCAGAAGCGCATTTGCGAAGGGCATCCATGATTATCTAGTGAGTGGTAGCTCTGCAAGAAAGCAAAGTCAATAGAAAATTTATATAAGACTCGCTCTCTTGTATTTATAGAGAAGAGAGGATGTAGAATATTAGAACACCAATAAATCCACATTAAATGCACAGATGTTAGCCTTACCTTTTTATAATTGACCTAATGGTTTTGCGGCTCCTTTCTCACTTGTCTTATCACAACTTGACTCAATATAACCCACATACAGAATAGGTCATATCATGTTAGATTGTAATAGGACCGAATTCTCAGTACCTAATTGGAGAGAATTGCATAATTTCTAACATAATATATAGTACAGAGCCATTAAAACATCCATTAAATACATAAATACTCGTCATCTCATAAATGTATACAATCAAAATAATCATTTACAAACAATGCATGATATAGACATCACAAGACATAACGGAAAAAGTCATGACTGTAAAATCTGATATACCTATATAGAATTAAATATCAAAACCAACATTTATCTACTCAACTTGTCATTTTCCTTTATCCTGACCTAAAATGGATGCAAAATAACAAGCATGAGCAAACCACAACTTAGTAGGTCACATTAAATCTATCAAAATATTTTATAAATAAATAATCAAATTTAGTAAGATAAAACATGTTAATTTCTTCCCACTTCTGTACCCGTTTCCCATTACTTTTATATCATTCTTTGGAAACCTTAATTACATAAACGGTATACTTTTTCTATCAAATATCTTCCTATATTAGATGCCTTTTAGGGGAACCATATGCCTTCATTGTGTCCTCTGAACCCTACCAAATTTTGCGGCTAAGGCCTTTCAAATTTTAACTCGTATGAGCCACACAATCCAACCTATCAAGTATAAGTTCCAATTTCAAAACTTATAGATTTTATGCGTCTTGATTTGAAATCGGATTCCGTATCACAACAGTACTTTATAAGCATTTTAGATTGGGAGAAGGCTCGCCTGTGTCTTTTATCCTAATTCTGGATGTGGATGGACACCCATAAATCCAAAAATTATCAGCCATCACAGATATTGCAGAACCCCAACTCTTTGTTTTTGTTTTGATGTGGGACTATCTCTCACATGAATCTAACAAATTTTATGCTGGAGAACCTACCCAAAAAAATAATTTGAGTCATTTTGTTGTTTCCTCACTATGTATGTTTTTTCATGTCCTTGGCCGGTTCTTAACGAGGATGTAAAGTTAATGCTTCCAGTCATTCTTTTATACTAATAAAACTGTAAATATGGCGTTTTTCAGAAATAGTTTTAAGATAGTTCAAGTTGAAACAACAGTATTGATATTATTTCTTCTAAATTACAGGGCTAGATGCTGTAGCCAATTGTGCTCAGGTTTTTCCTTTTAGTGGACGTTATCAGCTCTCTACATAAAGTTCACTGTACAGAAAGTGATAACCCAAAAATACTGCTACCTGATTTGCTTAGAAATGCCAAACAAATAATATTTTCCTGTCTACTTCTAAGATATTTGTTGAACATATATAGCATGTTCTTGATTACATTAAATTCTTATGTTTCTGTTTATCTTCCTTTATTTAAATTTCCTATGGATGCATCAAGTTTGCTTAGACTTGATAGATGCTTTCAGGAAGATAGTTTATAACTTTTTTAATTTTTTTGCTGTTTTTATCTATAGCCATTCCAGAGTTTTCTAAGGTTTACAACTTCATTGGTACTTTGATTGACCCTGATATCAATAGCACAATGGGAATGTATTTGCAAAAGCTTAAGGAGATGGATCCAATCACTGCAAAAACTGTAAGCTGTGTTCATCTATTGTAATGATTCATTGTTTTGCTATATAAGCTTTCGTTGTAGTGATGCACTTTTTGGTATTTTCGTAGTGATAACCCAGTAACCCAAGTAAATTTCACTGATTTTATAATTCCATTATGAGAATCCAAATTTAGTTGGCCAAATGCAGAACCATCGTGCAATTGTCATTTTCTTTTAATCATGAAGATGGAATTGCTACAATATGTAAGGCAATCATGGATATTTTGAAGTAAAATATTCACATTGAGGAGCTTGTTTTTATAAATGATTTTCATTTTTCAACCCTACTAGACATTCAGTTAACATATTGGTCGAACTGTTGAATCTCCTGGCTTACCGCATTCTGAACTTAGGATACATGAAAAGTGATACTTTTTTTTTGCTTTTTAACTATTTTATTTCCGTTTCCTTTTGAATAGCTTAAAGATTTGAAATAAGCTCTTAGAATTCAAGAAAACCTGAAGCTTATGCTTTTTATGGTTCAATGCACATTATGAAGCATATGTTTGACATCAAGCGGCTTGCGCTACATGCTAAGAATGCTTTGATGTTAACAATTTAGAATGTTTTGGGACCTCTTTGTTTTGAAGTGTGTTGTTTGTGCTTAAACAATACTTTTTCAAACATTGGCTATGAAAGCTATTGGGCCTGTTGATCCTAATGTGGATTATGTAGTGGTGGATGACATGAGCTTTGTGTTGAGTGTGGGCAAGGTCACTAAGGCACTAGTGTGGATACTGAGAAGGATATCACGCAAGAGGAGATGGACTAATGAGGTAGATGCAATGTTGAGGAAGTAGACATAGGTAGAAGATGCGGTCAGGTTTATTATAGGGTCAGCATGTGCTTCCTTGGTAGTTTTGATTCTGATAGGAGTTTCTAGCAACGTTTTAACTCAAAAATGTTGAATTGATTAAAAACACAGTGGAGTCCAGTAAAAAGCAACATATTTTCAAGCAAGTTTTGAACTTTGAACTTTGTCATCAACCCTAAACGTCATCATATATTTTGCAAACTACTCATTAATAGGCTCTTTCAGAGTTCCTTATTTTTGTTTACATGAATCAATTACTACAGTTTTCAAGCATGGTATGAAACAATCTTTACTTTATTTCTTTCAGGTTTTAATATTGGTGAAAAATTTGATCATCAATTTGTCTACCCCTGAGTTTGATCCATTGGTTAGTACATCTCTCATAACCTTTGCCATGTATTAATAATGCTTTGGTTATTTTTCCTTGGTCCTTTTTTATGCACGTTTCCATTGATGTTAATTCTTAAACAACCAAACATCATCATTATACTACGACAGATAACTATATATGGTTAAACAAAGAATATTGGTGAACCTGATATGATAAGTTACGTTCAGCTGTTTTTGAGTAATTCAAAAAGAGATATGAGCTTCATTAAAAATTTACTGTATGATCAATGCCATCATGTTGGCACTTAACTGTTATAGGATGCCTTATCTTACAAATGCAGTATTTCTTAAACTTAATGGAGTTGAATGTGATTCAGATCAATTTGTTGATCTGATTGTGATAGCTATTGTAAAAATTTGAGTTCAATTCATTTCATTTGCCTGTTATTGATCTAAAGATGGAATTTATCTGAATTTTTGTGTGAAACAAAACCATTAAAAATGTAAGAATATGGAGTTTGAAATCAGTCGTTTCCAACTTCAATTTGTTGAAACCTTTTAAGCTCCATTCTATTTCTTATGGTTCCAAAATTACGATAAACCCAGCAAGGATTGATAAAAAAACTCTTTTTTCTAGGAGATTGCCATGTCTGCCAGAGGTGTAGTTCACCAACCAAATTTGTTGTAATTTTGTTTCTATTCATGCAGAGAATGGATCAAAATAATAAACTGAAGAGTTATTTTACATCTATCCTTTCTTTCTAATCACCTACACCCAAACTAAAAGTTCCTGAGGGTGGTTAAACCCTTAAAGAACTAGTCCCATGACTAACCAAGAGGGGGAGGGTGAATTGGATATTTAAAAACTTATTTAACCAAAAGAAAAATCTTTTTATCTCTCGCAGCGGAAACAAATTAAATCAATAATTAAAAGATAAATCAGAGATTTCACCTAGTAGTTAATAGCAGTGTTGGAGAATTTTTGTATCCTCAAACGGATTGCGTACTTTATAATCGAGTAGGGCATAAGAACTTGATATATTGCCCCGAAGGATAAAAATATCATTTCCCTATGGACTCAATAATAAAATTTACAATTATTAACAGAGATTCCCCCACTCGATGTTTGGTCGAGTGAGGTTTATTTATTTATGGGGTACAGACATCCCATAGGGGCAAGCCCCTATGGTTAATTACATCCCAAGTTTTGGCTTAGGAAGACTTTTGATTAAACTAGTGGTTTTGTTTGTTTGGAAGTCATTTTAGACATTGGCTAAAGTTTGTTTTTGTTTTAGAATTCTTGAAAGTCTTAGTTAAAGGATTTGTTCCTTTAGGAATTTCAATGAGGAATTGATCAACTTAGAATCAGATTTTTGGAGTGAAGTCCAAGGGAAGGTGAAGTAGGAGCACTTGATTCTGAGGAACACTCAGAGGTGCTCAAACTATCCTATATTGAGCTTTACATTTTAGAAACTAATTTTTGTTTAAGTTGATATTTTTATTAGAAGATTGGGGCTTACAATCCTTCAACACATGTTGGAAGGATTGCCCGAAATGTGAGGGCTTATAGGGTGATTTGGAATCAACCCGTGCCTCGGACCCTAAAACTAAGGTGAGGACTACCGATAGGTAGTGTCTGGAACCTAAATCTAACGAGTGCAAAGGGGCTTACAAACTACACCTCACAAGAGGCATAGCCTGCCCGACCTCTGGATTTACTATCCCGCCTAGAAGGTACTACCAGCTAAACCCTCCTAATTGCTTTTAAAATCATGCCATCTGGTCTCAATGCGAATGAAGAGTGGGAAGGTTATTTTTATTTAGAAGGTAGGGCTTATAGCTTGGTTTTGAGGCCAAGATGCCTAATTATGTGGGTATGCAAATGCTGACTCACAAAAAGAAAAGTTTTGTTATCTAGTCCTTCAATGAAGGCATTCTACATGCAACATGCTTTGGGCTATGCATGATTCTTTTAATTTTGAAAACTTGGCCCCTTGAAGGGAGCCATGCAAGTTTCTTTTTTTTTTTTAATTAGAAAATATGGAGCCTAATTTTCATTTTAGGTTGCTTACATTTTAAGAGAGTAGAAAAATTACTTTTTATCCTAAGAGCCTACCGCATCAAATAGTCCAAGCCACTCCCAAGCAAAGGCAAAATAAGAAACCTAGGAAAAATAAATGCTTTTCTAATGCACACCCAGTAAACACTTCAATACATGCTTATATATAAATTAAGACAGAAATCTAAATAATGTCCCAGTTATTACAAACATGTTTAGCAGCTGAGTTGCCTGTCATTATACAACTAAGTTAAATTAATTACAGACTCTACTTGTGGGGTCTTCAAGCTTTACAAAAGTTCTTTGGGCTTCATCTCCCAAAATGTACATCTTTTTCATTTTGCTCCCTTCTTTTGCTCCAAACCCCCACAAGTTCACATCTTACTTCTAATCAAATACATGATATAAAAATAAAAAAAGACTCAAACCTGCAAGACAGAGTTAAACAGCAATTTATATGATAATCATATTATATTCCCAAAATTGGCCTAGCACTTAGAGTGCTAAGTGCTAGGCCCATACTTCTACCCTATTGGTCATGCCTTTTAGGGGGTTTAAGCAGCGCCTGCAAGAAAACAACGTTATGATAATCATGATTTAATTTCCCCCTCTTGGACATGGCCACCTGTACAGAAAAGCATGCATTTTTCTATACTAACCACTTAAAGGTAAGTGCCCACAACGCAGACAATTCAAAAGTTAATCACTCCACAACATCAATCACATGCGCACACAAAGAAAAATCTTAATCCTAGTATGCCTAGGGGGTTGTGCACCTAAGTGTGTGAGGCTTGTGTGGTATGTCACACTAAGAATTCTTCTAGAGTTTGGATCTAAGGAAGAAGTGTCCAACATGTAGCATTTGGGCCACATGTTGAGGGATTTTTCCTTAGCTTTTGGAGCTAAGAAAAGAGGGTAAAAATCTAACATTTAGCTTTTGAGCTAAATGTTGGAGAGCTCTCTCTAGCTTTTGGAGAGAAAGAGAGGAGAAGTCTTCTACAACTTTATGATTAGAGGAGGATTGGGGGAAAATGCAACTTTTGGGTTGCAAATTCATAAAGGTCTTTGGACACTTTGGTGTCCAAAAAGAGAGTTGCATCCTTACAACTTGAGTTGGAAGGGTGGAGAAAAAATAGGACTTTGAATCCTATGTTTGGGATGAAATTACTTGTTGATTTTGGTTCAACAAGTAAGGTAATTTGGAACAAGATTGGACAACTCAATATGAGTTAAGTGCAAGAGGGTTCCGTACAACTTTTGAGTTGTAGGAAGGGTGAAGTGAAGTGCAACTTGTAGGTTGCAAGTTAGAGGAATCTCTTTGAACGTTTGGTGTTCAAAAGAGGACGACATACATTCACTCAATTTATGCTAAGTGAATGGAGTGATTTTCTACACTTAGTTTTGTAGAAAAAGGAGGGAAAGTGAACCTTAGGGGTTACACATTCATGGGTTTCCTTGAACATTTGGTGTTCAAAGGGGAATGATCATTCTCCTAAATTTGGACTTAGGATGAAATGAGAAAACTTTCTACAATTCTTTAAGTTGTAGAAGAGAGAAGCAACAAGCAAATTTTGAATTGCATGTTGAAAGGGATTCCTTGGATATTGGGTGTCCAAGGAGGAGCATTCATTTGCTTAATTAGTGACTAAGAAAATGATGGAGACTAAGATTTGAATCTTAAATCTAAGGGATTACTTATTGGTCTTGTGTTTCAATGAGCAAACGATTTGATAAGCTTCCTATAACTTTGGAGTTGAAGGAAGAAATTGTGACTTAGAGAGTTACAAAATCTCATAGAAGGCCTTTGAATATTTGGTATCCAAAAGTGGGTGATTATTCACTTAATTTTGGGTTAAGTGAATGGAGAGGAAAGCCTAGATTTTAGGTACTAAGCCTAAGCGGGATGTTCAATTGTTAAACTTAAGTTCAAACAGTTTGAGAGAAAGAACTTAGAGTTTGGTTCGAAGTCCAATAATCCCATGTAATAGTAAATAGAAGTTTAAGAGAAGCTTCAAACTATTATACATGGAGGGAGGAAAATTGTTTGTTGGTTTTGTCTTGATAAACAAAATGTGGGTGACTTAGGATTTGCTTCTAAGACCTAGAGCCATGTAATGATACCGGTTGGAGTCTTTGGAGACTCCAAGTCGTCATTCATGGGGGAATGTGTGTTGGTGTTATGCTCCAACAAACAAGGTGGGAGAACTTGGAAGTTGGTTCCAAGTTAGAAAAAATTTATATAATGACATGTTTGAAGCTTGGGGTGCTCCAAATATCATTGCATAAGAAATGTAATTTATAGTTTTTGAACTACAAATTGAGGAAGTCATCTACCTATATAGGTTAGGCTATTGAGAAAGTCTAGATTTAAAATCCTAAGCCAAAAGAGGAAATTCTTGCATTGATCTTTGTGTCTCAAATGAAAGAAAGAGGTAACTTAGATTTTTGGTTCTAAGCTATAAGACTTTCATATAATGATATATTGGAATTTAGAGAGTTCCAAATCATTACATATGAGAAGAGAAATGCTTGTTTGCTAACTTTGTGTTGTTAGCAAAAGGAAAGAAAACTTAGGATTTGTTTCCTACAATCTTCAAGGTTCATGCAAGGGAACATTTGGAGCTTGGGAGGACTCCAAAATGTCACACATGAAAGTAATGTTTGTGGGTTAGAAGCTCCAACAAACAAAATAAGAGAGCTTGAGAGTTGGTCTCAAGCTCAAGCAATCCACATGATGGACATTTGGAACTTAGAGAGGCTCCAAAATATCACATATGGAAGTGCACCTATTTGTTGATTTTTATCTCAACAAAAGGGCGGTAACTTAGGATTTGTTCCTAAAGTCTTAATGGTTGGAAACCATGTGGTATTTTGGGGACCTTGAGAAAGCTCCAAAATGCCCAAATGAATGGGGAAGGACAAATGTTTGTTGATTTTTATATCAACAAACAAAATGCCACGAACTCAGAATTTTGGTCCTAAATCAAAAAGATTCATGCAATGAAGTGTTTGGAGCCTTGAGGTTCTCCAAACCGCTATGCATGGAGAAGGGAAGATTTTGTTAGAGAATTCCCAACAATCTTAAAAATCAATTTTTGGCATGATTTGAGAGGTTGGGTAGGGTGGACTTGCCCATATTACCCTTCTAGAAAGACAACATATGATATCATCTAAGGGACCTAAAGACATAGGATGGAATATCATTAGAAATCCTATGGATAGGCTCTAAGAATTAGTTTTCTAGAGTCTAAGGGGAGCCTAAGGGTGAAGGCTTTCGATTGTCTTTTCGAAAGTTTCACCAAGTGCCTAAGTTATGTGTTATAACTCTTAACCCATCAACTTACAAACTATACTAAACATGTCCAACAAACTTCCAATATATGATGGGGTGCAATCTATAAGCTCCTTGAAACATAGACCACCCCATCTTTGCTTTGCAAGTACCCATAAGTTTGGTGGGCATATTCATGGTTTTGCAAATTGTAGGTACAAGGATCATAGCCATTGACATAGAGCGACCATTCAAAGACAAAAACTCACATAAGCTTAATTTAATATTAAGAAATGAAATCGCATAATAAAGAGAGTTTTTGCTTTGTTTCCCTAAATTTGGAGAAGTTCAACTATGTCTTCCAATCAATCTATTGATTGTGGGATTGGAAACATGAACTAATAATGCTCATAAAAGATCCCACAACTTCATAAAAATAATTGGAATGCATATTTGAGCTTCTAGCAAATTTAGAGGGAATAGTGAATGTCATGGCGGTGCAACCCTATCACATGTACATGCTAGTTTTGTTGTAACATGCAAGTTTTAAGGGTATGTTAATGCATGCCATACTTAGGTATGAGACTTTACGCTCCTACATTTCATTCGACATTAAATGGGTCACTAAACATATGATTTGGTCGTAGGCAAGGATTCTAAACATAACATGAATGTTATTTGCATGCAAAAATAAGGACGTTGAACACAAATTCAACGCCCCATCGCCTTCCCGCCATCCTTTTAACTCTCACATGAGAGAAAATCATGAATAATCACTAGATTTCCATGATTTAAACAAGTGGACAACGGAGATAGGATTTTAGGAGAGCGAAAATTGAAGATTCTAAGGACCTAGGGTTTGGGGACGTCAACCACACAACAATTGGCCTTGGGGGACCCTAGGTTTCACTAAGTTTCAAAGGTATACCTCTCCCGAGTTGTTCTAGCGCTCCTATCCAAGTTCCGGCTCACTGTCCATGCTCCAAAGTCGCTGTCCAAGCCGCTCCGAGAGGTGGATTTGCTGTCCAAAGCACTCTGGAAAGACGTTTTCACTGTTAGAAGGCTCCCGGAAGCTGCGTGGCTGCTGTCTACACATTCCAAACAGCAGATTTTGCTGTTTAACAGTCTCCCGAAGCTGATTTCGTCGTCAAGAGGTCGCCGGAGTTGGAAGAGAAAGGAGGAGAAGCCACTGCAGCAAATGTAAAGCCTTCCTTGCGTCGGTCGAGACGGAGCCGAGGTGGTCGGGTCGCACAGGTCCGGCGAAAGAAAGAGTCGAACCTCCTGGTAGGTCTGGCCGAGGCCCTGGATGAGCTCGGACGGAACTGTCGCACGCGGGAGAGGAGCTGGAAGGGACTCCCGCACGCGGGAGGGATGCCTGCTCGTGAGGTAGTCATGGGACACGGGAGACAGTCGCTCGAATGAGCCCTGAGCGCGGAAAGGAGTTCTGCTTGGACTAGGCCTTTCGCTCTCTGGATCTCTCGCTCTCTACTGCTCTCTATCTCTCGCTCGCTCTCTGGATCGGGACGGAAACGAAAGAACGAAGGAGCCGAATGCCCCTCTCCTCTACGTCTCCCGCTCCTTCTCCACACAAAAACTCATTCGAGTAGATTTTCTGCTCGATATCCTGCTACGGCCGCAGAAATCAGGAGATTTGATGGAAAACAGAGCGGGATTTTAGAGGAAACCTAAGCCGTTTGATTCAAATCTTGACTTGGGATTTGAATTGAACCAAGGCTTGTTGAATTAGGCTAAAATTGGTTCGAATTGGACCCAATTTGAATCGATTAGAGTCGATTCGAGCCGAATTGGGTCAGATGGAGCCAATTTTACAAAATTGGATCAAATCGACGCCGAATTGTGCCGAATTGCGTCGAATTGAACTCGACGACACTTGACGGGTTATGACTTAAATTGATTTGATTTAAATTAAATTAAATTTGGTTTAATTTAATTAAATTGAGACTTAATTTGAGTAAATTTAGCCTCGGCGATGATCAATTGAGTTGATCGAGCTCGATCGAGCCTAGTCAGGCTCGATCGTGGTCGAGTCGATATGAAAATATTCGTCAACAAGCAGTAAAAATAAATTGCGGAAAATAATCAGAAAGAACACACGAGATTTATAATTGTTCGATCAAATCAGACCTACGTCCACTCCCCAGAACCTACCATTCTAAGCGTTGCACTAAACCTTTAGTGACTCTCCTTTAGCCCCCACAACTAGGCGGAGAAGCCTTTACAAAATCTCTTCCACCTCCTGGTGCGGCAGAGAACCTGAAATCTTTTTCACCCTCCTGGTGAGGCAGAGAACCTGAAATCCTTTTTCACCCTCCAGGTGAAGGCAGAGAACCTGGTCCTTTGAAACCAAAGAGAACTTCTTCCCAAAACTTCCCTCGAGACGTGCCTTGAGTCCAATGGTACTTAGGTGCGAGCTTGCCGGTGTAGCCGTGTGAAGCTTCTCCACACTCCCTCGAAAATCCCCCTTCCAAGATTTTTCTCCCTCTCAAACTCCACCCTTTCCACTCTCCCTTTCAAGCTCTCTCTCTTCATGGTTTCTCCAGAAGAAACGAAGCCTCAATGGCTGCCAAAGACTCATTTAAAGTCTTTGAAAACCCTTAAATAGAGGGCTTTGAAAACCCTTCCAAAATTGTTCAAGCGGCGAAGATCGTCCAGGAGGAGATCATCTTGTACGATTAATACAAAATAGCCACTTTAGCCAGTACGATCAGCATAGTCCTGGATGATTATTTCAGCAATTTGTACTTATCGTCCAGGTCGATCATTCGATCGTCTAGGACGATTAGTTCAAAATCAGACATTATCGTCCAGCAGATAGTTCGGGACGTCTAGGAGATTCATAATAAAACTAAAGTTTTTGTCACAGATCGTCTAGGACGATCCTGCGTTCGTACCAGCTGATATGATCGATCAATCTAACCTTAATTACCTAATTAATTTAGACATGATTGATATTAATCGTCCAGGACGATGTGGGTCGTCCAGGACTATTAGAACAAAATTCATACTTTAATCATGCCTAAATTATGTTGGCGGCTAGGGTTTTGAGATCGTAATGGATCGTCCAGGATGGTATATAAATTGTCCAGGACGATTAGTTCAATGACAAGATCGTCTTGGATGATCGAAATCGTCCAGTACGATTTATTCAAAAGTTGAACTGCTGGTTTTGACAGATCTCACTCCCCCTGAGTGTGTGTGTACTTGGTCACAAGCAAGCATACACCCTTATAGGACTTGACTCAAGAAATCAAAAAGTACATTAATGAATATTACAAAAATCATCACATCATAATCTATTCTACCCATCCTTGAGCATTGAATCTTTGTTGGATGGTGCATATTGTTCTTGAAATTTTAGTATACACAAACAAATATACATTGAAAATACTAGAAGATGAGAGTCATAATGTTTGTTATCATCAAAACAAGAACTCGTGAGCCCGAGTCATAACAATCTCTCCCTTTTTGATGATGACAAAGATTTATTGTTTGAATTTGCAAATAAAAAGTATTTTTTGCTAATCTCCTACTCACTAAGATAAGAATTTTAAAAACAAGGAGAAACATAAATTTTTTTTTTATTTAAAAAAAAACTACATGAATATAATATAAATACAACGGTACGTTCAAATACAAAATAAACTACACAAAGAAAATAAACTTCACAAATATAACAGTACATTCCCCCCCTTTAACATTATTAAAAAGAACTCGTCCCAAGGCTAACCAAGAGGGGTGGTGAATTGGATATTTAAAAACTTCTTTAACCAAAAGGAAAATCTTTTTTTCTTTCGCAGCGGAAACAAATTAAATCAATAATAAAAAGATAAATCAGAGATTTCACCCAAGCAATTAATCGCAGTAAAAATAAATTACGGAAAATAATCAGAAAGAACACACCAGATTTATAGTGGTTTGATCAAATCAGACCTACGTCCACTCCCCAGAACCTCCCGTTCCAAGCGTTGCACTAAACCTATAGTGACTCTCCTTTAGCCCCCACAGCTAGGTGGAGAAGCCCTTACAAAATCTCTTCCACCTCCCTCGGTGCGATAGAGAACCTGAAATCATTTTCTGTCACGATCCGGCCCAGTTAGCTTGTATATATGAGGCGGGAACGAAATCGGACGTTCAGATCAATCACTATTCATCTTTCATGTAAATAAAATTTTTCTAAAAAAACTTCAAGAACAAAAAGCGCCTCTAAATAATTTTTATTTCCATTCCATAGTGTTCACAATATACAAGATGGCAAACATCTAACTATTCATGCTATGCACGCCATCCAAAAGTAAAGTAAGGAACCACAACTAATAAAAGCAATAAAAGAACCTGTCACCTGTTGTTCGTCGATTGTAAGTAAACCTCGAGTGATCCGCCATCACTTATGAAAAGGTTCTCCTGAAAATTTTTCAAAGCTAGGGAGTGAGTTACGCTCAGTAATTGACAACTATACCTAAAGTTCATGTACATATAAAAAAAATAACTTGTAGGATTATATAACTTTTGCTAATGAACGGCTTAATGTATGTCTTGAAGTAGGTACTAAGTTGACTATGAGCTTAACATGAAATATGCTTGCTTAACATGAGATATGCTTTCATATGCTTATCTTTCTAGTCATATTATATACATCCGTCCCGGAGTATCGAATTGTACTAATCAGGTACACATCATTAATGGTCATATCATTTTCATTTCGTTCCATATTGTCTCAAAGGCCGTCTTTGCTCAAAGAGCCACATATTGGTACTCCGCGATCAACAATTATAAGCTATGCATTTCATATATGGTACACACTTCATAGGAATGATAGATTTAAGCATGAAAATACAAAAATGCTCATGATTTCATATGAACTGCTAAGGAGTTTTCTAACATATAATTTAAAACTATTAAGTAACAATTGAGCGTGAACAAGACATTGACTTTGAGCATAAAATTTCTATCTTCTTTGCAAATAATAACATAAAACAATGTATATATGTATATATAACGAAATGAACACGTTCCCTAGCATGTAGAGTCACTTACCCCCAAGCTTTTCTTTGCAAAATTTTCCGCACAAATCCTCACCACCTTTCCTTATTCCAACCTAAGGGAAAAGAGATTTTCAATTACTTTTACAAGCATTTAAATCTCCAACATTTTTAATTTTATTTAAAAATAAATATTATTTTCGGATTTATCAAAAGTCCCAAAATTTTGGACTTTCAATATTTGATATTTTCATCACTAAAGCTTATCAAAACATTCCCTTCATCTAATTAGTAAATCATATTAAGTAATTTTCAGATTAATATTTTATAAAAATTAGGAAAAATATTTTTCTCTCAAATTTCTCAATTAGAGGCTTCTCTAAGCCCTTAGGAACATACTTAGAGAACATGCAACCTACAAAAACTAAGTCTGGAAAAACCCTAAACTTTCCCAAATTTTTACACTCAAAATTGCTTAAAGAAAAATTACATTTTTTATATCAAAATCCTTCCCTCAAGTTCTTCTAGCAATTTCCATAAAAAAAATCATAAAAAGAGAAACCCTAATTTTCGGATTTAATGTTTTCTTCAAAAATTTTAGCATATTGGATAGGAAATCATAGACCTAAACAAACCCTAAAGATTTTCTAAAGAAATTTCTAAAAAAATCAAACCCTAAAATTTTTTTCTATGAAAATCTCAAGAAAACTTTCATATCCTTTAAGAAGAACTTACCTCAAGTCTCCCCATACGCTTTTCCTAAAGTCTCTTGCCAGAAACTCGCCGGAATCCCGCCGGAGAGACCAAGCCGATGCCGTTTCTGCCCTTCTCCCGTCGCCTCTCTTTGTTCGGCCGAGAAAACAAAACATGGGACCGAATATTTCGGTCCCTTTGGCTGACGAGGGCTTAAGGAAAATGGGCAAAAGAAAAATTATGCATGTGCCCTTATCCCATAATATTTCTATTATCATATGAAAGGGTAAAATGGGTAAAACAAGCAAAATGTTACTTAAAGCACTTCGGCGAATTTTAATTCCCAAACCATGCGAAATTAACTACAAGTTCTTTATACCGTTTTGATCGAAATTTTGTGACAAATTTAATAAAATTTATTTCGTCGAATTCCGACGACATCAAAATTTCACTTAAGTTCATCGTGGCGCATCGATATGCGTGCGACGCACTCAAATGACGAATTCCGTGTTTTATAATCCTCCCTTGCTAATAAAAATTTCGTCCACGAAATTAAAAGAAAGGAAAAACAAACAATCATACCTTACTCAAAGAGATGTGGATAGCACTTCCTCATTTCTAACTCTTTCTCCCACGTGGCATTCTTTTTCAATCCATGCTTCCATAATACTTTCACGAACGGTATCTTCCTGCTACTAAGTTGCTTCATAGTGACCTCCAGAATACGATCCGGTTCTTCAACATATGTAAGATCTGGTTGTAAGTCCACATCTTCCGATATGATCTTAGAAGGATCATTCGATATATACTTCCTCAGTGAAGAAACATGAAACACATTGTGGACAGCATATGTAGTGGGTAAGGCTTATCTGTAAGCCACCTTCCCAATCCTTTCCATTATCTCAAAAAGACCAATGTAGCGGGGACTAAGTTTGTCAACCTTGTCAAAAAAAA